GAATATCATTACTTCCATCAATCTCCTCGAAAAATACGATAAAAGTAATCAAAATTGTTGGCAAACAAATTTTCCAGGTAATGGACAGTGCTATAGCAGCGTTCTGCTTGGAGATAATAGCGCGACACGCGGAACCAGCACCACGGTTATGCAACAAGGATCCCCTCACCCTGAAGATGGGATCCTACATTCTCGATCTCTTTCCAAATGCCAAGTTTATCTTCATGATCCGCGACGGCCGTGCCACCGTGCATTCCATTATCTCGAGAAAGGTATGATCGAAATCTTTGACCTTTGGCCATCATGCCGGCCATTCCGGCTGATGTATGCAAATTTATCTCTCTTCATTCGCGAATATTAAAATGCGACGTACTCGTCAGAATGAGCGAACGACGAAAAAACGAGAAGAAAACGAACGAACGGGAATTTACGTATTTCTCTTATGCAAAACAGGACGAGTCGAAACGAAATGGGACGATAGTGTCTGCAAATCGTGCAAAAAGAAAAAAAAAAAAGAAAGCGACGCGTAATTTTGTAGCTGAGAAGATTTTATACGAAAACTCGATCAAATATTGCTTTATAATTTCATATTGACGCTTGTTATGCTTCAATCTATGCGATCATCGAATGTGAAAGATAAATTTACATTAATAATTTTCAGGTAACCATAACGGGTTTCGACCTATCCTCGTATCGACAGTCGTTGATCAAATGGAATCACGCGATATCTATAATGTACGGCCAGTGTAAAGAAATCGGATCGGACAAGTGTCTAATGGTTCCGTACGAGCAATTGGTGCTACATCCACGTCAATGGATGAAGAAGATTCTAAACTTCCTCGATGTCCCTTGGAACGAATCTGTGATGCATCACGAGGAATTTATCAACAAGCCAGGCGGCGTGCCTCTGAGCAAGTAAATGCAATTTATTTTTCTCGGATGTGAAATTAAAATAGAAGGAATAGGAAACAAGATTCCAAATATGAAATAGCAATGGGATTGAATGGAAAACTAAAATCTGTCTTATTTTTGGTATGCAGGGTCGAAAGATCGTCAGATCAAATTATAAAGCCGGTCAATCTGGAGGCATTAACCAAATGGGTAGGCCACATTCCGGATGACGTGGTTAGAGAGATGCCTGACATCGCGCCGATGCTTTCTGTGCTCGGCTACGATCCTTATGCTAATCCACCGGTGTATGGAGCGCCGGATAGATTGGTTAGCGAAAATACTAGACGGTATGTAACCGATCTTTAATTATATCATCTGTAGAAATAAATTTTCATATCCATCGAAATATATCTGAAATATATCTGATGTTTATCATTTGCAATCAATTAAACCTTTCTTTCAGAGTGCTGGCGAATGGTGAGGTATGGGCAGCCAGGGCGCGCCAATTCTCTTTGGAGAAGCTGATTGAGCTAAGCAAAGAGGACGAGGCCACCAACGCCCCAAACGCGTGACCTCGGATATATCTTTCCCTAGGCACGCAAATCTTGAATCTGTACAATTTCTGTAATGTCTAACGACAATTTTGAAAGAAAGAATTTGTAACGAAAATCATTGAAAGAGCGTCGAAAGAGTTTCTTTCATCCGAAGTCAGAGTCGCACTCAAACGCTTATCGTCGAGGGAAATTCGAAAATAGCGAATTCTAACTTGACGAACAAAAGAGATCCGACTAGAAGGTTAATTCTCGATTATGCGTACACGTTCGATCTCGGCTTACAGACACGGAATTGTGGATTATTGTGCAATTTTTTTTTTTTTTTTTTTTTGTATGCTGCGGACAGTTACCCTCTTTGTATGTGTTAACCGGTAAATGTTTAACTTCCACTCGAACCGTGAATGTAATAACTTGCTCACTTTGCGTGATTCGGTATTATTCTTCTATGGAAACTTGTACGATTTCACAGTTGAACGGTTATTCGCTGAATCAAGCAAAGTGTAAATGCAACAAAAATGCAACAAAGTGCAAAAGCAAAATGTCATGCTATTTTTTAATTTTGGTTTTTGTTCGTTTTTTTTTTTTTTATTATCGAAACTGATATAAATCTTACTGAGTATGTTGTGTTGAGGCACTTTTTGCCTTAATAATTAAATAATTTTATCCGATGGCCAGTGACAAGAATCTAGGCTATGGAGCTATAATATAAAAAAAAGCGTATAATGTGAATGTCGTGTTGAATGTCGTGGAGCGAAAGTATTGAATCGATGCGAATAAAAATCTATGTACTATATTTTATATTGTAATGCAAAATAATTTTTATGACATTCTACATAAAAGAAAAAATACGTTTCTACTTGTAATAATTATGTAATAATTATTTTGAAACATGTGCGTTAATACAAATCTAAAAAAGAAAATCTTTAAGTTTCTTTCTTATTGTTTTTCTAACCTTTTTTCTATATTTATACAATTAATAAAATTCAGACTATAGTAAATATGAAATGCACATTTCATATCTTTCTTTTCATTGTATTAATTTTATCATATTAATATTATGTCATTATGTGTTATAAATCGACTATATATGAGAAAGTTATATTATATTTATATGTCAATGAAGCGTGGAAAATATATACCGGATTAATAGCAAACAAAATCAAATTTTTCTTTCTTCTTTCAATTTATGATTTCATTATCTATAACTATGCGAATATTGCTGCAAAATCTATGATTACAAAAATCGAATTCTGTTTTCGATTATTGTATCAACCGGTATTTGATACAAATGTAACAACTTCGATGTGACATTATATCATTTGTGTCAACCACGTTATTGTCTATAAAATATACAATTAAATTATTTTAATATTATAAAGCCTAGTATTATTTCTTTTCCTTATCAATCACAAAAAATTTTGAGATGAAAATGAGAAAAAATTATATATAAATTTAAATAATTTGAAAAAAAAATCTAAAATAATTATAACTATTGTTATATTTAATTACAATTCTAGTATTGTTATCTAAGAGTTTCGTTTTGTTTTGAATTGATAATTTTGCATATGATATAACAAATAAAATAAAAGATAAATATGTCATATTTTATATTCCATGTTGGAAAATATCTGAAATTCTGTATCATAAGTAAGATTATTATATAAAATAAATTTAACATTCACTGCATTTTTTTATTTAACTTTGAAAACATTTTTTCTTATTAATTATTCTTATTATTAATTATTTATTATATATTATTATATTATTATATTATAATTATTTCTTATTATTAATATTAAGAAAACAAAATTTTCTTAATATTTTCTTAACATTAATAAGAAATTTCTCAAAAAATGTTTTTGATATTAAAGAGATGGCGTTGATTTTCAATTCTTTTAACTCTACTTTATCTTTCCTTTGAAGCAGTATTTTTAATACTCAAGAGATGGCGTTGATTCTCAATTCTTTTAATTCTACTTTATCTTTTCTTTGAAGCAGTATTTTTAATCTTCAAGAGATGGCGTTGATTCTCAATTCTTTTAACTCTACTTTATCTTTTCTTTGAAGTAGTATTTTTAATACTCAAGAGATGGCGTTGATTCTCAATTCTTATTCTATCTCTATTCTTGTTTAGTATTGGCTTTTCTTGCTTCTTGTTAGTTTTATTTGCATCCTGAAGATGGCGCTGATTCCCATATTTTTATTCTATCTCTATCCTTCTTTTATTAGTTGCTCTTTATGAATAAAAAATAAAAGATTATACTAATCAATTGGATAACTGAAGCGGGATTAAAATATTTGAAATTCAAAATTCGTTGATATAATAAAGTATCATTAAGGTATAACAACATAATAATAAAAAATTAAATTATATTTAAATAAATATTTGATATTTTAGAATAAAACATTCTATTTAGTAATTCATACAATAATAATTTATACAGTAAGTTTACAATAAATTTATTTGAAATACAATGATAATGAATTTTATACTCTTCATTTAAAAATATTATAAAAAATTACGAAAATATCATTTTATTATTGATTAATATAAAATATATGCAATACAATATATATTATACAATTATTATTATTATTTAATATTTGTTGATTAAAATTTTTTTTTCTAAATTAATTTTATTATGATTATAAAAATAATATTAAAATTGACTAGTGTAGTCAAATTAGGCGCGAGAAGATCTTGGACATAGGATA